CATTACAAAACAACGAAGGGGTGGGGTTCCACCCGCCATCCATCCCCTTTTCCCCGTCCTACGATAGGGGTATGAGAACGTCTAAGGGCTCATCCTTTAGGGAGTAGCTAGATAGATAGGGTGCTCTTTATAAGAAACCACCTTGTACTCTTCTCTCTGTCAGGGGAGCAGTTATATCTTGATCACCTCACGATTAATCACGATTCTGCGCATGTCATTTCCGAATGTAACCATAAATCAAATTATCGTTTCCTTGATGTGATATTCCTAGATAGTTATAACAAAAAATGAAGAGCGGATCTGAGAAAAACGCGAGAGAACTAAGGCAAGGGATGGCAAAAAAGTCCGTAAGAATATCTTTAACAAACCTCTTCTGGTATAGCAGGATCTGCTATACACTCGGATTGGTTAATTTTGACCGTACTGCCAACACTCCGTGGGTTCCCTCGTTTAGTGTCAATCAGAAAGATGGCGCGCGCAACCTGCGCGCGATTTTAAGAAAGGCGAATTGTATTTTATCTTTAACGACTGTCTGCAAGGTTTCCCTAACACTCAAGCGCTGAGGAAGGAGCACGAAATCTGTCTAGTAATCTAGCTCGTAGGATAGACGTTTTCGCGATTCTCCCAACCGGTTTTAGGAAAAGTGTGTTTTTTTTGTTTGTTTGTTTGTTTGTTTTAGCTCTTTCCACAACTGGCTAAGTCTGCGATACAATCAGAAATATGAACGAAGCCAAACAATGACATATACAACACGCGAAATAGTCAACGGACTTGGGCGTGAAACTGACTACATTTGAATCAGGTGGTGCCAGAATGAACAAAGGACGATTAAACCTACACATCGAGCTCGAGAGACATAACATCGCTCACTGATGCAAGAAACATAAGAATTTCTCTAGGCAAACGTATAACTTTCCCAAAGTAAAGATAAGACATCTTCGAAGAAAAGTCGGACGAAGACAAACGATATCCGTGATAGTCCTAATATGAAGCACCATGCTGCACTTGCCAACAGTTCTAATTAAACAGCCGGGCCTGGCGTCCCAATATAGAATGCAATTAAGCAACATATTCACGGGAAATTTCACATTTTGTCTCTGGAAAGCAAATACTCAGAAGCATTTCTTCCAATAAAAGTGAGACAAAGCAATACATAAGTACATGGCAAATTACTGAGGTATCAAACTCGGCGAAGCGAAATGCAGACTAGACAGCCGAAACCAGGCAGACCTAAAACCCCTAAAAATTTGCTATAGCACGGTCTAACGGCTTAAGTCTACTTAAAATTCCTTCTGATATTAGTAGGCAGTCGTCGGACATGGTGCATGACTAATCATTTGCTATGGTGACTGGCTAACCCAAACCTTGAACAACAGACACGGCGAAAGACCCTACGGACGTACTGACGTAGCCTGCTAATAACACAACATAAAGTGCCCTTCAAAAACACGAAGGAATTGTAATGAAATCAGTACATTAACTGTAAATTATGTACGTATAATTAGTCACATTATGTACGTCACTTGCTGAATGGAATAAACACAACATCATACACAGTTCAGTCTGATTGATATCTCCCAAAGGAATCAAAGAAAGGTTGAGAGACCGAAAAGAGAACCGCAAACGTACAATTGTTACGAGCCGTAGGATTCAAGTAGGCCTGTCAACCCCATTTTAAACGGGCGATCGAAAACATGGAGTCTAGCCTGCGAACAGGCTCCCGGCGATCCCGAACGTGCCACCGCCCCGCCGCGATCGCTTCGGTCCCTGAATTTTTCGGTTATGCGCTCGTCCGCTAGCCTCGTTCGCCAAATGCTTCTTTTCCGCCCTCTCCGAGAGCCTGTTTGCAGGCTACATGCAGGCAGATCAGGTTCCTATCCGAAATTGCTCTATTTCCTCGCGCGATAAATGGGGAAATATTTCAACACCTCATTAAACCAAAGATGGGCGGAAGAGGGTCGTTAAAGATATTCTTACAGGCTCTCTCCCTTCCCTTCCTT